AAGAGAGAAACTACTCTTGGCAAAAGAAAGATCTTCTTATATGACAAAGCAATATCAGAGAACTGGAATGACTACAAAAACCTAATAGAAGTATATATGAAAGAAGACAGTAGTAAAAAGAAAAAAGGCCCTAAACAAACTTGTACAAATAAAGCAAAAGATAGAATCAATAGCCAATAGAAGAAATTAAAAGGCTGGATTAATAAGGCAGCAAGTAAAACACTTCTCTATAAAGTTGTTCAAAATACAATAGAAGAAAGACAAAAGCTCGTAAGTTGAAACCCAAGATATAAGTAGATTAGAGATCTTCATAAAATAGGCAGAAGGGTCCAACAAGAACTAGGCAAACCAATAAAAAAGATAATAGAAGCTGAACTTAATAGAACAATTAAAAGAGCAAATGATTTTAACAATATTTAGATCCTAAAAATTCAGGAAAGGTGATCTGAATGGTTAAAAGAAGCCAAAAGCTGATCAAGATTATCAAAAATAAGATGATTGCAGAACAAAGAAAAAAAAAAGAAAAGGAAATTAAGAGATTTATCAAAAGAAGATTTGGAATAATAGGGAAAGAGGAGAAGAAAATACTCTGTAGTATTTTAGAGAAACCCTGGCAAAAAATAAAAATAGAAAGGGTCTTAACTAGTAATAATACAAACAATAGTAATAGTTAAATTAAATACCAACTAGATAAAGTACAATATAAAGTAAGAAGCTACCTTAATAAACAGTACAATCAGCCAATTTCAAGTAGCAAAGAAGATATACTAAAGTGGGATAGCAAGTACTTATTCAAAAATTAGATACATGAACAATGGTACAACCCAGTATTAGAAATAATCAGTACAGAAGACTGGGAAGCTACAATCGACAATACAAAAAGCTTATCCACTCCAAAGCTATCAGGCATTGGCTATACTCTACTCAAGAAGGTTGGCAAAAGAACCAAAGAGTACATAATAAAGCTCTTTAATCTCATCTTGCAAGAAGAAATATATCCCAAAAAGTGGAAATTAGGTATGATCTTTCCAATCCCGAAAATAGCTGAGTGGGATCTTATATTACAAAATATAAGACCAATAATGCTACTTGAGGCAGCTAGAAAATGTTTTGTATGAATTATTCACAAAAGATTGAGCACAGTAATCGTTAACAACAAAATACTAAAAGGTCTCAACTTTGCAAGTCTTTATGATAAAAGTACTTAAGAACCAATACATATAGTAAATAGCTTATTAGAAGGAGCAAAGGAGAATAACAAAGAGCTATAGGCAATGTTTCTAGATATTTGATACAGTATGCCTCAAAAGATTAGAAGCGGCAATAAAATGAATATGCTTTTTACAACACTTAATCAATCTAATAATAGAGCTGTTCAACAATAGGAAAATTAGCATAGTTACTAAATTTGGCCTTATAGAAAAGTTCATAGCCAAGAAGGGTATCGACCAAGGTGAAGTTATTTCCCCCCTTCTATGGAAAATTTACTTTGACTCCTACTATACAAACTATAGCAAACTAAGCTGGATGCAAAACTTAAAATAAAGTGGCTAGTAGACTTTTCAACAAATAAGACTAAAAAAAAAAAAATCACTGTAGCTGCCGTAGCTTATGCAGATGATACGGTCCTACTTGCAGGATTACAGAAAAAGCTACAACAGATAATAGATCTAGTAGTAAAATTCTTCCAAGCAAATTCTTTTATACTAAACTCTAAAAAAACAGAGTTAGTAGTAATTAATAGCCAAAGAAAAGAGAAATTAGCATCAAGAATTCCACAACCAAGATTGAGACCAAAAAGGAAAAAGATCTAACTTGGTACCTTGGAGTATGGATTGCAGCAAAGAGCCTACAGAAAAATATAAAGACAAAGCTAAAAAGAGAAGTAGTAGAAATGGCAAATCTACTAGTAAGAAAAGAAATTTTTATTGAACAAGCCAAATATATCAACAACAAAGTTTTGCTTTCTAAACTTGAATATAAGCTAAATACTTGTCTGCTTACAAAAAAAGAATATAATGAAATTCAAAGTCCAATAATGCAGGTGATTAAGTAGAAAGCTGGGTTAGAGAAAACAGCAGCAAATATATTCTTAATTCATGAAGATATTGTTAGAGTCAAACCTTTTTGGCAATAGCATATAGAAAATATGGCAACTGAATAGGTTTTAAGACTAAATAGCCTGAAAATCACAGAAGAACTTATGAAGCTAAGACTGAGAGAAGCACAACTAGACTTGCGTGCAACAGAGCCAATATGGCTACTAGAAGAAAGTAACCTAGATACAAAAAGTTGAAAAAATAATATTAATATGGCAATCCTCGTTATATTAAAGAAACTCAAAATCTTAGTCACAAGCAGTATATCAGAAACAGCATGGTGTATCACACCAATACAGAACCCAAATAACAAAATCAAGAAAGTACTAGAAAAGAGTGGGTATTATGAAAATCTACAAAGTTTTAAGAGACTAGGAATCTAGTAAACAGATCAAATTGTAATTAAGGAATCACAATCACTTCTATCCTGGCAACGAATCAAAAAAATCAGAAATGCTATATCAAAAGGAAGAGTTCCCAACTGGTTTACAAAACTAGAAAGCATTTTAATTGAAAACTCACAAACGAGAGTAGTCAAAGCCCAGTTTAGAATTCAGAATAGCAATAGAGCCTCATACCAAATAAAAAAAATACCCAAAAAGATCTCAAACAAAATGAGTGGGTACTAGGAATAGAAGATTGAAAAGATGAATTAGTACTAGAAAGAGTAGACAGAAAGCTAGCAAATGAGAAGGTTGAAATAATTAAGTGGGAAGAAGAGTCAAAAGAGAACATCCCAATATCAGAGAGGCAAACCAAGCACAAGATAAGAGAAAAAGACCCTATAAAGAGAAGAAAACTAGACAAAGACCAAGTTAAAGATATAAACGAGTGGGTTAAAGTAGATAGTAAGGGTTGGGATTTAACAATTGATACAGTTAAACTTAAAAAAACATCAAAGCTAGATCTAAGAGAAAAAGCCAATATAATGGAAAGCTCGCTAGCAGAGAAAATTAATATTGAAAATTGACTTCTTTAGTATAGAAAAAACATTTAAAAACCTATATAATATAGCAAAAAGCAAAGAGGCACTTACAGACAATTATAAGTTTGAAAACTTGGTTTTTTTTACAGACGGCTCACTGGCAAAACTAGCAACAGGCAGGTATATAGCAGGGTATAGTGTAGTTTAAGTAGAAAATTATAATATAGTTAGAGAATTAAAAGGTAGAATAGAAGGATAGTTTTTATTGACAAGAGCAGAATAAGAGTGGTTCTACAGGCAATTCTGATTACACCCTCTGACTGAAAAGTAAGCATATATACAGATAGTCAAGCGGTGATACAAAGCATTAACAAGGCTCTGAAGATAAAGTGAGTAAGAGAATGGTACAAGCTTAGTAATGATGGCATACTAGGCAAAATAGTAGAAAATATAAAGGCAAAAAAAATTTTGCTAACCTTGTATAAAGTTAAAGTACATTCAGGAGTAATAGCAAATAAGAGAGCAAACATCTTAGCAAAGCTTGCACTAAAAATGCTAAAGAAAACTAGCTTTAAATTAGAAAACACAGAAGGGGCAATATTCTTACCTACATGGCATTCAATACGTATCAAATCTCTAATAAGATCTTTTACAAAAAAGATAATAAACATATTTTAAAAGGCAAAGTAGACATTTATTAGACACTGAAATGATGAAATACATTCAAGAAGTGACTCAAACAAAGATTGGAAGACCTTTCAAAAACTTTGGCATAATACAAGAAAATCCAAAGATTACTCTACAAAATCGAACAAGAAATAGTCTTTTAGAATTAAATCCACAGATGCCTTACTGCCCACACTAGTTAAGAGAAATAGAGATTATAAGGAGCTTTATAATAGCACCACTTGCCAAAAATATAAGCTAAATGAGGTAACTTTTGAGTACCTAACGGCCTGTGAGGCAGACACAGAACTCTGGAAAAAAAAAGAAGATCTAATTATTAAAAAAATCTGGGAAAAGTTAAATAAAGAAGTCCAAGAAATACTAAGCTATCACAAATTAAAAGAAGCTATTACAAACCCAGAAGCCCCGAGCACTCAAAGAAGAGAGAATCTAGCAAGAGAAATTCTAGATATGTTATGCAGAAACAAACTAAATACCATAGATCTCAAAGAACAAATAATCAATCAAATCCTCACATCATGGCTAGAAAAGTAGTTTGATACATTTCAAGAGCAAATTTGGAAATAAATATATAAAGCAACTCTGGTCTAGAAAAAAGAAATCAGTATAGATATAAGACAAAAAAAGAAAAAAGAGAAAAAGGAAGAAAAGAAAACAGAAAAGAATGAAATCAAAACAAGGTTCGAGAGTGAATGCAGAGACTAAAAGGCCAAAAGAAAAATTAAAAGAAGAAATAGAGGAAGAAGAATGCTTAAAAAAACTTTTAAAGAAATCAGGAGGTGGATTGAGAAGGGAAGTTATAGTTGGTGGAACAGAAAATAAAATAATTATGATCAGCTACAAAATCTAGTTTGTGAACTTCTCTATTAGAAAATCCTAATGCAGAAGGGAGACAATTTTGCTTTAGCAGATCACACATAGGTACCGCTAGTAACTAGGTGAGCCGTATTTTTGTTATAAGGTACTTAGTACTAGAATTAGTAATAGCATTAGATAATGTAACTAATTTGTTGAAATAAAATATAGCATGATCGCCAAAAAAAAAATATATATATATATATAAGAAAATTAAGAAAATAAAATAAAGTTTTACCCTTTCACTTCTATAAAATAAATATAAAAATTATCATAAATTTACTTTATATTAAGTTAGTAATATGTGGTTATATTTTGCCAATAAACCCAATTGTAGTTAGTAAGAGCTATAATACTTATATAATTATTAATTTAATTTAACATAGTTTAAGCTTGTAACAAAAAAAAATTACTGTAACCTTGAAAATTGATTGTTAACCTAATCTATAGAGTGTTAACCTATTCTGAAAAGCATCAATCTGATCCAGAGTGTAGATAACCCAACCCAAAGTATGATAACCCAACCCAGAGTGTAGTAACCCAACCAAGATAGTAGTAACCCAACCCAAAGAGTGATAACCCCAACCCAGAGGTAGTAACTTCAACCCAAAGATTGGTAACCCAACCCAAGGAATATTAATCTAAAAAAGGCAATTATTTAATATTTGTTTGTTATATTAGGCTAATTGTTTGTAGCTTAGGCTGTTTATTTTGTAATAGGCTAGTATAGTATAAGGCAGTACTATGTGATAAAAAGCTATAAGAATATGTAAATATAATTTAAAGATAAAAGAAAAACATTAGATATTTTTGGCTATAACTAATATATATACATGCATACTGTTTTTAGATTCTGTTACAACAAGTTGATAAAAAAGATATATATAAAGGCTTCTCAAAGGGAAATGAGCTAAGTAGATATATATAAAATCAGAAGTGAATTTAAAAGCTTCAAATTCATGATAAGAAAAAGTTAACAATTAAAAATAATTAAATAAAATAGAAAATATTTTACTACATAGCCTCAAAGCCCCAAAATAATGAAAATAGTTGATAATATATTTTCTTTAATTATTTTAAAGTATAAAAGAAGTTATTTTTAATTGAGATATTTTGCAATTGGTTAACAAATAGCTGTGTTCTTTTTCTTGTCTTGCCTTTTATTGAGAGATTCATAATAAATTATAATTTCGTTGTTCTATTTGAATCAAATATTATAATTTGAATTGCCTTTATATTATCGCTGTTTTCAAAATAGTTGAAAATAACAAAAAAATATTTTTTTTAGAGTACACTGGTATACATGTATATGTAATTATTTTTTAAAAATTTATATTATATAACTTTGCATATTTTATACACCTCTTGCATGACTATGCATATTTTATGCACCTTTTGCATAATTGTGCATATTTTTATATAAATATGTATAAATATGCACAATTATGCAAGAAGGCATAAATAGTGCTCGGCAAAACCAAACAAAAACTTGATTATCAAGTTTTTGAATCTATCAATTTACAATATTGGGAATTAAATACGAATTTTATTTTTTAGTATATATATAAATCTAATAGGAACCCGAACTTACTTTAGTCTTCATGGTAACTAACATGAAGTTTAAAGTCAGATTAGAGTAAAAATAGATTTTATAATTGAAGCACAATACTACAAATCGATAGATTCAAAAACTCGATAATCGAGTTTTTGTTTGATTTTGCCGAGTACTAGGCATAAAATATGCATAGTTATGCGAGGGGTGATAAAATATGCAAAGTTATATAATATAAATTTTTAAAAATAATTGTGTATACATATGTACCGGTGTACTCTAAAAAAAATATTTTTTTGTTATTTTTAACTATTTTGAAAACAGTGATAATTAAAGCTTTCTTTATTAACAATAAAAGGTTTTTATTAAAAAAAAATACCTTTTGCAAATATATGTATTTTACAAGAATCCAAGTTTTGTATAAATGATATATTTGTCTAATTCTAAATGAAATAATAGTTAAAGAATTTTTCAACACATCAGTAAAGAAATAACAGTTCTAAATATACAAACTAGTCTAGATTTTGAAAAAATTAATTATATTAAAATAAATTAATTTATAAATTTAGAAGCTATATAGGTAAGCCCTGATTGCAAAATCATTGAGATTACTAATACATTTGGAATAAATATTTATTATTATCTTAAAAATAAAAAAAAATTATCTGCTAATACTCTAAATAGTTTTGATATTCTTATGCAGTCTGCAATATATAGTAATAAACTGTATATTCCTAGTTTCTTATATTTTATACCCAACTGCAAACAATTATTGAGATTAGATATAGTGAATTGGATCCAACATTATAAAAGTGGTTGGTCAACACAACTTTCTGCAGATAACCAAGGGAAGCAATTTGTTGTTGCTTTGTCTGAAGCATTATAGTATATAGACATACATAGTTATAACAAGTTGAAAGAACGAAGTTGTTATATTTCTCATTTATTTTATAAATTTTTGAACTATACAGATTCAGAATCATATAGAAAGACTAGAAAACCATTTGATGTGAATGAGCTTAATCTTCATTGTTATGCTCTTGTACTATTCACCATATTTCTATTTAAGGAATTTGAAGAACTTATTTTAATTATATCTCATTATATAAATTATTTACTAAAACAACAAAAAATAATAGCAACAAATCATAGAAGTGAGGTTTTTGTTTAAGACATTGAACAGACTACATCTATAAAAGTTCATTAGTCTAATATTTGGGTAAAGCTACAAAATGAAAAAAAAATATTATAAACTTAAAAATATTTTATATGAACTTTCTTTTGAAAACCACTTAATATTGAAAACTATTTGTTATTAGAACCAATATGTGTAATTTAAATATATTCTTCTCCTTCCATATCTATACAATTTTTACATTCTTAGCAATAATCTATTCTATCCTTTCTTTGCAAATAAAAGTAACAATTACTACTAACAAAAGCTAGCTTCAATTCAAAATACAATCCATACTTAGTCTCTCATCATATTACCAACAATATCTCTGAAAAATACTATTTAACAATATTATATCTACTATAAGAGCAATTATTTTAGTAAAATCTACAATATAAATATTAATTTAACAAAAAACAAAATTTAAATCCTAATAATTTTATCAATTTTATAAATCACTAACTCTTTCTGATAATCCTTTGTACTAAAAAATATAACAAACTTTTTTTCTAAAAAACAGTAGACTATAGTAGAAAAAAAAAGTATAAGACTGATAAAAACTATAAACTGGCACTTGTTATTTAGAGATAGTTCTCATATGCTATCTGCTAACAGGCTTAGAGCTTATCACTCACCGTGAAGTTAACATTTGTTATTTAGAAGTAGTTCTCATATACTACTTGCTAACAAGTTCAAAGTTTATCATCTACTGACAAGAAAATTAGTAGTAAACTTGGCTCTTTATATTTTACTACTTTTGGAAAAAAATATATACTCTTTTAAAAAGAGTACAAAAGCCATCTTCTACACTATCACCCACTTGCTTATTTTTTAAAATTTTTGAAAAAAGTGGGCAAAACAGCTTACCTTTATCAAAAGATCAGCATTGTTTACTCTTTCCCAAATTTGGTCAACTCAGTAGATTGCAACTACATGTTTTGTTTAAGAATAAACACGTCACTACTCCATGTGACAAGGCCTACTGACTAGTTCTTGGTTAAAGACTTAACCAAATTTGGTCATAGAGTTGAAAAGAAACCAATATGTTAAGGCAAAGTCTTATAGTAGAGATATACAAATATTGTATTTGTTATATAATTTTTTAGCCTTGTACAGATTATAATAGTACACTTTTTTTTGTAGATGGTTTCTATTAGGACTACTTACTTCTATTTTTTTACTTTTTTTATTTTTGTTTTACTATAATGAAATTATATTTAGAATAGGTTCTCTCTTTAGTTTTTTGTTATATTTATTTGTTTGTTTTTTTTTCCTTTTTTTTGTCTTGTTCTAGATAGTTTTTTTTTTTTATAAATGTGATATATATTGTTGTTTCTTGTAGAAGAATAAGAGATCAAATATTCTACCCAAACTTAGATAGAAAAAGTCTTAAAAGATGGAATAGGTAGTCCTAAATAGATTACCACCATTACTTGTTTAAAATTTAAACAGTGCAACAGGATATACCTAGGACCAAATAATAACTGGGTGGTGCTAGTCTTCAGAGTTTTGAACCATCTGTAGTATAGTATAGAAATTTTTTCTTTGTAATATAGATTATATTTATTCAAAGTACCTAGCAAGCTTGTCAAAGAATAAAAAAAAAAAGTACAAATCTGATTCTACTAATGGAATTCTTAATATCAATTTCCTTAATATAGTTTTTATCATTAGTTAATTAGATTAATAGTTAACGAATTATTAAGATTTAAAGATATATAACTATAAAAGATAATAAATAACAATTTGTCACTTTTGTGATACAGACTTATTAGTACAGACCCATTGGTACAGACCTATTGACACAGACCTGTTGGTACAGACCTGTTGGTACAAACCTATTGATACAAACTTGTTGATACAAACCTGTTAATACAAAATATAATTTGTTTTTATATAAAGTTTTAAAAGATATAAAAACTCTGTTTTTTTGCCCAAGGCAGAATAGGTTCTGTTAAGATTCTGCCAAATTCTAACTTATATTTTTTTAACTTTTTTTCTGTTAAATAAATAATATATCTTTAACTATATATCCACTACTGTGTATATACTCTTTTTATAGTATTTTTATAGTATTTTTAGGTTTGGATCAAAATTTAAACAAACAAAATCCCAACAGGTTATAATTCTAACAAAAAAATCTTGATAATCAAAAATCCTAACAAATTCTGACAATCAAAAAAGTAATCATTTGAGCAATTTACTATATAATCATCTAAACCCTAACTTTAACCTGAGTGTATACCCTAACTCTAACCTATACACTTACCTAATTCTACTATAACTTAAATGAACTTAATAATTTTTTGTTATTGAGATTTTTACTATTAGGATTTTTTTGTTAGAATTATGATCTG